CGCCGCCGCTGCTGCTGCTGCTTCTTCCTCGGGGGCGCGCGCGCCGTCCTCCAACGGCCCCCCCCGTCCCCAGCCGCTGGGCCAAGATGGCGGCGCTGAGCAAGTCCATCCCTCACAACTGCTACGAGATCGGGCACACCTGGCACCCCCACTGCGGGAGGGCCTTCATGCACGTCACCCAAGGGGCGCTGGGAGAGTCGCTCCGCATCTATGGGACCCTTTACCTGGTGAGAGGCCCCGCCTTCCTGCCCCCCCTCCTCACCTCAGGTTGGGGAGCTGAGGGAGAGGAGGATGTAGGTGGGGTGGGAGGAAGGCTTGGGGGGCTGGAAGGCCTGGGGATGGGGATCCCTGGCAGGGCGTTTGTGGGGCACCTGGAGCTGGCCTGGAAGCTCTTTGGGTTGGTGCAACTGGCCAGGACACCTCCTAAAATATACCAGGTTAATGCAAGCCTTGTACTAGATCTTTCAAGCGAGAGGCTTAAGTCTGCTGTGTTATTCCTGTTGGCTGCTATTCTCTAAAAATGTACCCATTGCAATATAACCAGATGTGTAATAGACTGAATAAAGCTTTCTCTCTTTCTCTGATATAATGGAATGATATCTATACCAGCTGTGTATATATTGGTGTATACATGACATAGGACCAGGTTAGTTGAGGGACTGCCTTCTCCCAAGAACACCTGCCCGCTCCACACGCTCCAGGTTCCTTCTTTTAAGCCTTGTCATCTTATGGGGCCTAGGAGATGTGTCTTTTCTGTGGTTGCCCCGATATATGACGGACCCCAACTCTCCTTGATTTTGGAAAAGCCCTTAAGACCTTGCTGTTCCCCCAGGCATTAAGAGTGGGTTGAGTGGGAGTCCCCCTTCTGAGGTTTGGTTTGTTCTGTGGTTAGTTGCCATTTTACATTTTAGCTTCTGTATTTATGATATACTGGTTGTTTGTTGTTAGTTTTCATTGCTATTGTTGTTGCTGTTATTCTTATTATTGTGTGTTTATATTGCATGACGCCTAGAGTCACATTGTTTGAGTTGGGTGGCCTTATAAATCTATAAATCAATCAATCAATCAATCATACTTGAAAATGCTTGGTTGATGGTATATCTAGTTATGGGCATGTGCTTTTGCTCTTTTTCCCTAAAGAAGTGCTTTTTTAAAAATTAGATTTAAGCTGTGCGAGTCTTCAGATTCCAAGGCAAAAAGGTGCTTCTGAGTCTGCAGGGTTGTGGAGGTGATGCCCCTCTGCTGCTGCTTAAAGGAGACATGCTTTTTCCTAGGATCTCATGACAGCTGCATGATCCCGGGAAATGACATAGTTCCTTTAAGGAGTTGCAGGCAGTACTGCGTTTACATCCCTGTGCTGTCTGAAACACATTCTCCCCTTGGGATTTGAAGTGCTGCAGATTCCTATTATGTTTCTGTTTCACCTTTCCTGCAACGAAGCCAAAATGATGTGATTTGTGGTTTCTAAGGGGATTCCATCTGTTATTAAGCCCATAGCTATTCAGCTTCAATAAGTTGCTACAGCAGATACTTGCACTTCATACTTGTGCAAATGCTGACTAAACAGCAAAAGATAGTGAGGAATGTGGGGTATATACCAAGAGTTTGAATTAAGAGGAATAAGTACAGGTAGTCCTCGAGTTATGACTGCAATTGGGACCAGGATTGCCATTGCTGAGTGATGCACTTGTAAAGTGTTGTTACCCAAGATGCATGGGTCCTTAGGTGGGAAGCGGAGGGAGTCTCAAGGAGTGTGGGGGTGCTGCAGGGGAGGCCCTGGGAGGCCTGGCTCAGGCCTGTGCAAGTCAGGGGAGGGAGTGCTTGGTGCAGCACAGGCTCAGAAAGGCCAGGGAATGAGGTTGCGGGGTGCATGCGATTGCAGAGAAGTTGAGGAAAGAGAGCACGGGAGTGTGTGTGTGGAGTGCAGGGAGCCTGAGGAAGGTGGGTGCAGGGTGCATATAATCGCAGAGAGGCTGTGGAAAGAGGGCACAGGATGCATGTGATCATAGGGAGGCTGTGGAAAGAGAGTGTGGGGCATGTGCATGCATGCGTGTGATTACAGGGAAGGTGGAAAGAAGGCATGGGGCACATGTGATTGGAGGGAGGCTGTGGAAAGAGGGCGTGGGGTACGTGTGTGTGTGCGTGCGCGATGTGGAAAGAGGATGGGGGTAGTGTGTGTGTGAGATTGCAGGGAGGCTGTGGAAAGGGGGTGCAGGGTGTTGCGGTTGAAGGGGTGAAGGAGGGTGTGGTGTGTGTGAGCGAAGAAAAGCGGGGGGCTTACCCTAGTGACTTGCAACCTTCCTTGCTGGCTACCCACTGACTTCGCTTGGGGGAAGCCAGCAGGGAAGTTTGCAAATGGCAATCATGTGATTGTGGGCTGCTTGACAACCAGTTGTAAGTGTGCCAAGCACCCAGATTGCGATCACTTGAATGGTTGCTGAATGAATGGTCCTAACTTGAGGACTACCTGTAATGTTGGGAAAGTATAACTGGTCATTGGAAGAAATTTTGTTGTTGTTGTTCAGTCGTTAAGTCGTGTCCCACTCTTCGTGACCCATGAACCATATTGTGCCAGGTCTTCCTGTCCTTCACTACCCCCCATCTCTTTAAGAATTTGCCACAGTATTAAAACCTAAATTGATAACTAAGATATAAAGGCTAATGTATCTCAATTATCTCCCTAGGTTTACATAACACTCACTGCCTCCTCCAGACCTTCCTATGAGGACTAAATTCCTGCTGACCTTTCCTTCCCTGACTCTAATCTCTCAGTTCATCTTTGCTTAGCTCAGGGAATGGTCAAAGTTTAAAGCTATCATCAGTTTCAACATTAATGGTGTGCGAAGACCTTCACTAGATTCTGTTTGGCTTCAGTTCATACAAGGGAGATTCATTATTGTAATGAGGTGTAATAGTGGAGAATGCAAACTGAGAAATAAATTCTGTTGTTGTATAGGTGTTCAGATTATTAGTCTGTTTATTCCTGTACGATTTATTCTGACTGGGATCTGCTTCAGAGTAATAAGCAGAAGCATTTGCCATTACTTGCTACCTGATCGTTTCAGCTGTATAAATACTAGAAGATGAACCTTGGGTGGAGTTTATAGAACCTCCTAGTTAAAAATTACTTCCCAGTTTAAAACTTTAATGGACTCAGTGCTCCAATTAAAACATCATACCAAGCAATAACGCTTGGTATTTTTGATTTAGTGGGATGTGGGAACCCAGCCATTGTGGTTTGTAAATTAAAATGTATGGTTTAGCAAGCTGTGCAAACTTGTTAGCAAACTATGAATTAGCATAAAATGTGAACCGAGCCAGTTTATGCATATATTGTGATGAGCAGTTTTTGCCTATCATAAATTCTTGGCATGCCATTTTCAACATTGCTGATAGTGTCATGGTGATAGATACAGGAGTAGATCAAAAGACCAGTTTAAAACAAATGTTTTACACTGAAAGGTTTCAAATTGAATCCTTAACATCTTAATTGAAATGTTGCTAAGTTGTATTATATGTACATAACCCTCATTGTTGGCTATATTGTTCGGGCTTATAGGAATTGTGACCTAAAAGAACTGGAAGGCAACAGTTTATAACCCATAAGTTGGGCAGTGGTTGTGTACATAGATATCTGTACACCGTTTCACTGTACTTGGGTTCACACCATACGTTAAGCCATAAGCCATAGTTTATAAACGAATAGCTCTGTTCATGCAGAATACAAGCCAAAACCCAGCAAGCTGTATGAGATACGTATGAATCCAAACAGTGGTTAAGGTTGGACAGCTTACTAAGCTGCTTTCAGTTATTGTATATACATCATAGTAACTGGGTTTCTCATTTTGCTAAGGTGTGGAGTGTAGCTTACAAACCATAGTTGGTGAATTTATGGAATATGTTTAGCCAAAACCAGACCAACTGCATTATGGGCAAGTGCAGTGTATGAGCCTAATCTTAAAGACTTAAGCTTGAGCAAGTTTGCCAAGGCTGAGTAAATATGGTAAGCACATTTAATTTAATCATGGGTTGTGACCTCTGTTTTGAAGAGAATCAGCAGTTCTGAAGAATATAAAGGAACCAGCATAGACTTGTGATTGTAGCCTCTTTTCTGACTGTGATTCTCTGAAGGAGATCAAAATAATGTTGCACTCTCTCTTGATAGAAAAGTACGTGATGTGGGGTGTGAGGGGTTTACATGTTACAGGTCTATTGCATGATCCTCTTAATGTTGTTTATTGAATAAATCATTGTTAGCTGGGTTTCCATAGTATGCTAAGCCCAATCAACGTTATGGCTGAGGCAAAAATGTTAATCAGCTTACAGACAGAGACACATTCACAAAGTTTCTTCAGTAATCACTTTGCTACAAATGAGATTACCAGTTGGGTGGGGTGACTTGTGTGACTGGGTCTCTTGACAAGCCTGCAGCGTTCTCTATTATGAGATCACACCATGGAGAAATGGCTGTTGTGCATACATTTTAGGAATGAGTTCAGACACATCCTGGAACTGTAAGAAACTTGCAACAGGCGGATTATTAACTGTATCTGAACTGACCTTGTACCCAAAAATGACAGCCATGTCTGTTTGGTGGAACTGGCTCCTCCTCCAAGGAGTCTTGTTACTTAGACCTCGCCATTAAAAAGTTTAGAAGTTCTGTTCTTTCACTTATCTGAGAAATGTAACATCAAAGATGATTGAGGCATTTTGTAAATGGATTGTGGGGATTCTTTTTTGTAACAGTACTTACATTTTGGGGAGGGGTGTCCATGTTGAAATTTAGCTATGTAAAATGTTTTTTCACAGTAGCTGGCTGTATTTACATGAACTTAATCTGATCAGCTTTACAAAAGTTACTTGTGAAAGGACAATGTATCAAGGTTCAGCCCTGGATTGTACTGTAGTTCTAAAAAGTGATAGGAAACATCAGATTTTTGTTTATAACTTCTTTTGAAAGTTTCTGTAACACATGATGGGCATCACATGCAGCTCCTGTCAGTCTAGTTTTGTAGGATGAGGCATGATATGCAATTGGATTATTGAGACTTTAAAAAAAAATCAAGTGGATGGTGTGTGCTGCAAATACCTTTTTGGAACTTGTCTGTTAAGGATTTTGAGGACATAAATGATTAAATAACCAGAAAAAAATAGGATGAATTTTGAGATCCCTTGAAGTAGAGAGCTTTTTAAAATAATTACACTTTAGGAGTAATTTGGAAATACT